TCCTTTTCCATCACGCTCGGTCCAGTCACGCGCGAGCGCAGTTAATTTTCGTTAATAACACCTATCCCATGACCTTGCGCGTTAATTATTTTGCAGCCTGCTTTGTAATTATACACGCGAGCGCCACGCTTGATTAGATGATCATCAGGCCTTTCGTTATTACGGTAGTTCTATCGTGTTTAATGTATCCCTAGCAATTATTTCAATTTTCTTGTTATCGTTCATTGTTGATGTTCAATGAGGAAACGGAGGTTTAATCGTGTGATGTTAGAGGAAAGGAATTAGAGACGCTTAAGATGGCAAAAGTGGGGATACATTTGAGAACTTTTTTTGTTTGCAACATATTGTTTGATTGAATAGTTATTATTAATGTTTGAATGTGTGTAGTTTGATGATAGATCTTAAATATTTTGTGGAAGAATTTCTGGAAACAATAAAGATTTGATGGTTCAGCGAGACTGACATTTCAAGACATTTCTATTTAATATTACAGAAGGATATGAATTGTTAACTCTTACTAATAATTTGTTATTATTTCTTTCCAGGTGCTGAATTTTCTAACGAAGATCTATCCCACACTTGAAAATCACCAGCTGTAAACGGTAAAGTATCAATGATCAGTTTTTAAAATTATACACGGTACAATTATCAACTGAAAAATATACAGTATACTACGATAAATGAAAAGGCCGTTACTAATAAAGAGAAAAATATATGAATATGACAACAAATTTGGAACAGAAATAGGATCCAAGTATTTCTCTAATTGATTTTTTATCAAATTAAAAGAAATTGATCGAATGAAACAAAAACTGATTCGGCAATATTAATCATGCTGATTACTTTTATATTTTTTTATGTCTCATAAATTCCATTAACATTTAATTCGCTCGTTCCAATAAGACAGACTTAATTTTTATATTTAGACAAAAAGTTATATTATTTAACTAACATGAAAATTAATATGTTAACAATATTTCGTCGTTACTGTAAATCTACATTTATTCTATATTGACATTTTATACAATATTTATATAAGGGGTATTCCAAAGATTCCCGAAAAATGGTTATCTTTATCGTAAATAAAGTACTAGGTTTATAATAAATTTGTGTACATTTATCGAGGTTTATTCGATGAGACATTAGTATTTAACTTAAGTATATATTGAAAAACAGAGCGCTGAATTTGATATGCTGTCTCTTTCCTTACATTTTTCCGGGGATTTTTTGAACGTCTGACGTACAACAACTAAAGCCGCACTGCACCCTTGAGCTACGAAACATTCGAAAACTGGCAAAGCGTAGAAATAAGGAACCTATAGTTTTTCTAAGCGAACGGTAATCGCACGAAATAGATGCCGGCGGCGAGCAGTAAACAACGTCGACGCAGTGGAACGGTGAATTCCCGTCGCCGGGAAGTTGAGACGGAAGCATACCTTGTTACGTCGCGTTGCGAAAGGGATAAAACAGTTGGATAAGGCCTGGAGGGGTAAAGAAGGGTTAACGTTGCCGTATAGTGGCGCGTCTGCGGGGCGTCTTAACGTCTGCGAAGCACCGCCGCTAAATATTCATCACGTCGAAAACGTAAGCGTCGAATATCCGGGCACCGGAACATCCGAGGCCCGTTCTCGAGCCGCCGCTGATCCTCCCGCGTTTCGCGTGCGGCAGAATTAAAATCGTACCGCGATTTTGGCTCAGGAAAGCGTGCCGTCACGCGCCACGGATTTCATCTCCAGACGAGGCCAAGTTTCACTCTCCGCGGCTTCGAGTCCCGACGGGAAAGAGACGCGCGTAAACTCGTTGAAAAGTTTCCTCCTTTCCCTCCCCGTCTCGCCGCTTCTCTGTCGTTTCAACCGACGAGAATACAAAATTTCAATTTGCTCGTGCGTTCCTGAAGACTGAATTAGACGGATTCGTTTCATTCTTCGCGGATAAACCTGCAACAGCCGGAAAAATGTTTCGTTTGAAGGTCCTCGAACAATTTCAGCCATTCCGGTGATTCGTTTTCTTTACATTACTGAGAATGGTGGATAGCATTTTATTTGTATATGCATATTTATATGTACGTGTATTCGTTAATGTAGGGAAATTGAATTGGATGGATAAAATTGTATAAAGGGATGTAAATTTCCTAATGAAAAGATTATATTACATCTACCGTTGTTGTTAGTTTAAGTAATTCCGTGGTATTCAAGTGAGACGTGTAGGAAGCGTACATATTTCTGTTACTCCTCAGAAATCCCAAATTAAAATACAAGTTCTAATAATAATATTTGCACTTAAATTGCATATTTGATTAATACAATCATTTTCTAGAGACTATCATGGGTAAAATTTTATGCGACATGATTTTTGTTTTAATATTATGTAAAGATGCAATGACTTCAGTTAAACCACCATGTCTGTGCCCGCTACCGACAAGCTAAAAGTACACAGAGGCAAGGCGTCTGCTTTCTTCGACACGCGGCACGACCAATAACAACAACTGTTGTTCTACGGCTATTGACGCGAGCATCCTGAGTGGAAAAGTGCCCTTGCCTCTGTGCACTTTACTTGTCGGTAGTCGGCTCAGATGTGGCGGGCCAACTGTAGTATATATCGTCCGTTGTTTGAAAGACGACTCGCGGAAGGAATGCGGTTCTGAGTGGTCGGAATCTACTGTGTTTTCGGGTCTAGTATGCCATTGGTCGAAACGGTCGTACACGCGAATTCTGTTGCCACACGCAACGTACACAGCGAAAGACTCCTCTTGCCCCTGTGTCGTCCCACGACCCGTCTTTCAAACAACAGACGATATTTAGCTCTCATGTGTTAGGAATTTATGTCTAATTTTGAAAATGGTCTACGTTAATTCAAGCATCAAAAATCATATTTCCTTATAAGCTACATCATTACACAGTCATAATAAATACTTATTTTTTAAGGCTAAACATTTTCTACAATATTTTGTTACATGGTATACAAATATTTTTTAATCTACTCAAATTCAAACCTTTAAATATCTCGAAACTGAAAGTATATGACTTAGTCCGTTTTCAAAATTAATAGTACATTTATTGAAACATACTTCGCGATAAATGTCATAATGATAACATTAATGTGGCATTCCTTAATAGCTTTCAAGGGTTATGAAAACTCGTAATTCGAACTATTTTCGGAGGAATGAGTGTTAAATCTTTATTCACTATGCATACTTATTTTATAATCGAATAAAAATTATTTCGCGTAGAAAATACTGTAAGCATAATTTTATGTGGATATTAAAAAATATCAATAAATTACCTAAGAATTAATTAATCTATAAAGAGCTGAATATAAAAAATTAATTCAATTGAATTAAGAAATAGTTAAAGTAATGTGCCAATGTTTATCTAAAGTTTTAAGTTCCATATCTTTTAAAACAAATAATGTTCATCATTTTGAAATAGCAATACAGGTAAGTATTTTCTTATTATTTTCTTATTATTTTTATACATAATGTACCTACCTGTATTGCTATTTCAAAATGATGAACATTATTTGTTTTAAAAGATACGCAACTTAAAACTTTAGATAAACATTAGCACATTACTTTAACTATTTCTTAAGAAAATGAGTATTTAAATGACTGAAAGATATCTTTAACTTATGAATAGCATATTTCAAAAGAGTTCATATTTTCACAATTGGATACTTGCGTGTAATGTATTCGGAGAGCAATTAATTCACGCGATCACCGACTGCCGCTAATAGAATCGTGAATGGCCCGCAGAATATCGGAATTTATCAGACAATGGGTGAGATTTGCTTTTAAAGTTTGAAATTACCGGCAGCGTACCGCATTGACGTAACCCTTGAATAAGTTACTTCGCAATTCCGTGCGCCATTGGCTGCGTTCTACGCTATTGTTTGTATTCATCCAAGGTATGCACACTCCTTGTCAGCCCCTTTGAGAACTATTGTACCAAAGGTTCTCGGCAAACGTACTCTGATCTCAAGGTAAGGTACCTGCCTAATCTAACTCGATAACGCCTCGCCTATATGTGTAGACTGGGCAAACGCCCGAAGCGAGGAACGAAATCCAAAGTGGGTTTTCAAAGAGAATTATGTTGAATCGCTGAACCCTTTTATCTTTGGACCTCTGTCGCCAATATATTTATTGTTTCTGATTGAGATATAAGAACTACGTGCTAAACGGAGTCTAAATATTTTAGTTGGTTCAACTTTTTAATCATATTTGCCTTTGACTTGTAGAATTAAGATGGGACATTACATTAATCTATCTATTAAATAGTTGTACATTTTTGCGTATAAAATAAGTTACATATGACTGAGAGTTAGGAAGATGCCTATAATAAGAAATACTTGAAGTTAATACAAATTAGAAGTAAGTTTATCAACGTAAATTTTATCGTTCGATTCACTAGCTCTTGTTGATTTGAAAATGAATAGGTGTATTTAATTATATTGTAATTATTTCATTCTTATTCATATTAGACTGTTCTTATATACGTACTAAATAAAAGACGTACTTATCCTTTATTTCTAAATTTGTATGATGTATATGATAAAACAGTTTATAATACATATATGTTGATATACTCAATTTTGTACTTTTGTCGCTACGTAGATAACACATCTTTGACTTAAACCAGAACATTGATATTTAAAACAATAGTAAATGAAATAAAATTACAAGGATAAGGCATCAAAGAATTAATGAGAGACTAGCATAGTATTTTTAAATATATCTAAATTAAGCTTAATTTACGACTACCTCAAAGCATAATACTACTTCAACGAAAGATAATCAATTACGCAAAATATTTAAACCTTAATAGTCGATTGTTTTTTAATAATACTGATATCACTTATACACACCTACACTTACTACAGCACACAACAGAATATTGGCTAAATATTAAGAAAACATTGACTTCTTTACACTTCCGCATACTGAAGCCTTTGGACCGATAATGAATAATAGAGTCCAAAACACCGTTTCGCCGTTTCACTCACCTCGTCGAACGTCGCTATTCCCCCGTCCCCACTAGAAAACACAAGCAGCGATACCAAAGAAAACAACGAGCACATGATGATTCTCATCGGTCCGGAGGCAGGAAGTGCTTGTCTCGATAAGACCGTCACGTGAGTACGCATGGCGGGACAAGAGCTTTTGAAGCCCCAATTCCGCGGCACGTTTCAGACGTTCTCATCCCGCCGCGTTTGTTTAGCCCGCACGAAGAAACTCATGATTGCTCAGACTTTCATCGGGGGGCAAGAAGTCGCGGTCGCCCGTCGCTGCCTCCTGCGCTTCCTCCTCCGTGCACACGCGTATTCTTCCTCTCCACATTCAGCCCCGTTTGGAATAGTAAATAAGAATGGGTCCGCATCCTTCTTACTCGGTATAACGTTCATTTTAACGGGGAATGCGGAGAATGACGGTCAACGGGGGTTAGAGGACGAGCAAACGCAACAGTGGAAACTAAGAGGAAAAAAGAAGAAAAATAGACAGGGAATGCGTACGGAAGAAGGAAACAGAGGGGAAAAAGAAAATGGCGGCGAACGGTCGAGCGGGAAAAGATAGAAAGAGAAGGCTGCCCAAGACAGCGGGACATTGTTC